CTCTCTCTCTATCTATCTCTTTCTATCTCTCTTACCGTGCTTGTCGGGTAAACGACGAGCAGCGATGTATTTACCAGGTGGTACGACCTATGTAAACCCACCGGTATATAATACTACCCCGGTCGAGCCAGCTTGGATTTTCCCTCTGTCCGTGAGTCAAGAGACGAAGTTAAGCACGGAAAATCGGTGTTATACATCGCAGCGATTGTTGTTCGCCGGGTCCCTTCGTGCTTTTCGTGCTTCTCGCGCGTTCCGAAGACGAGAGGATTACGAAGAGCGACGTATCGTTGGGAAAGAGCAGCAATTTGCGTGCGGAAACAGCGATCGGACTTAAACCGCCGTTGGCGGTGATTAAAGCGAGCGAGCTTGCGCACACGGTCAATTTATCTCTCCTTAGTTTTAGATTTAGATTCTCAGCAATTTGATTAAAACGATTCGTTCGTTCTGTAGTTATCTTCGTAGAATATACAGTCTTGGAGGGATATTTTCAAATATGCGAGACGCTTTTAAAATATTTGAACAATGATTTAAAAGGGATATGTTTCAACTATGTACGCATATAGAAAGGGATGTAAAGTCTTTTCAGAGGAGAAAAATTCGCGGACATTTGCTTAAGAAAAAGTACTGTCATAAAAACTATAACGATAGCATCGGACGAGAAACGATAGCGTAAAGGCGAGAGGAAGTCCGCGAGGAGCAAGAAGTGATTGAGAGGAGCTGTCACATGAAAAAGAAACTCTTTCACTCTTCAAGCTCAATCCACTCAGACACCTTTTTATGTTTATAATCATTTTGCTACCACCCATATAAACAGTTCGTCTAGGCGATACTTTTTTTGTGTTAGTGTTTTTTATGATTTCTCGAAAGCTTGATTTTTTTAAAGAATTGTCTGAATTCCGTCCCATATCCTCTCGGAATGTCCAAAAGAAGTGCGGGAGAAAAGAAAAAGTTTGGACGATCTCGTTTGCGATGATAAGTGCGACACAAGCATTATAAAAAGTTAGCCGAAATTTGAGAGGATTTTCTTCAGCATGATTTTTTCGGCGTGCTCTCGTTGTAGCACACAGCATTATAAATCTCCTGTTATATTTCCTCTCTTCAGCGAAAACACAACAGTTTCAATGGCGACGTCTCTGGCAGAGACCTACTTTCTTTCTATCGTTTCCACGTTGCTCGTGTAGAGCCGCATATTTACTCG